CACACACACACACACGCAGGCACACACATACATACACACACATGCAGGCACACACACACACAGGCACACACATACATACACACACATGCAGGCACACACACACACACACACACACACACACACACACGCACGCACGCACACATGCACGCACGCACGCACGTGCACAGGCACATCACCCCACCCCACCTGATGCCTTGTAGCTCCATATTTGCACCTGGGATCTTGGATGCATAACAGATACCAACTCAGCAGAAGAGACCTGAGAGTACAGATGATTCCTATGTGAGATAAATTAAAACAAAAACAACAAAAAACTCCATAGCACAGGTTGACACGTGCCTAGAATTTACATTTCTCTCCGTGTTTCAGGTTTCTGGCTCTTGACTTCTGGCTGTGTCCCAACTCAGAGGGGTCTGCTTATCAGCTAGTGCTTCTGCAGAGGAATGTTTGCCTGCCATGAAGTCCTCACCTTGTATCTGTTCTGGGTCATTAGATACTCATCAAACTTGAGGCCTGGATAGACTTCCCCTGAATTTGACTTTCAGAAAACCTGTCTCCCTGCCATCTCTGCTATAGGCACGGACTTCATGCCCGGCCACTCAGATCAACGCCTGTCCCCTTCCCCCTCTTGCTGTTCATTCGCAGTCTGCCCCAAGTACCTAAGTAACTTCTTTACCTCCTGAGCTCTAAGTTGCCTGCATAGATACAAGGCCTGGGTGTGCCTAGCGCCTGGCATATTCTTTGACATGCATTCAGTCTCTTAGGTTGCTGAGCTATACAGGGTGAGTCACGGGGAATAAATACTAAGAGGGCATATGTGGACTCAGATGCAAGCACAGGGTGAGCAGAACTTGAATGGGGGATGGAGAGGTACTACAGAAAAAGAGGGGATCGCGGGAAGTCATGCACAGAACTTCCCGTGCTCATACGAAGTGTGGACGCTGGTATACAGCTCATGGCAGGGCAAAGCTAACACGCACTCAATGAATGGCCAGACTTGACTGTGGCAGCCTCGTGGTCTAGCAAAGTATTATGGAAAGCAAGAGGGAGTTGTTACATAACTCAGGACAGAGAGGGAGATATCGGTTGGAGTTGGCTTCTGCAGTATTGGGAGCTGGCAAGCCTGAGATCCACAGGGAAAAACAGAAAACTGACCCTGGAAACAGCTGGTTCCACAGTCTTGTGTCCAGAGGCTTTTCTGCAGGCAAAATGTCTGCTCTCTCAGGAAACTTTCTTTTTCCAAAGGCTTCAGCCGGCTGGTGGAGGCCCACCTACACAGCACAAGGTCATCTGCTGGCTTAATGTTCGCAGCATCCTCAAGTGCTTCATGGCCACGGTAACATCGTGCTGGGCCAAACAGCTGGGCATCTTGGCCCAGACACACTAACACATAAAATTGATCACTGTGGCTGTTCCGTGTCCCTGAGCCACAGAGAGACATCTAAAACAACATTTTGGAACTGGGTAGACCGAGTGTGGCTCTGGGAGAAAGTTTTCCAGCGGCGAAGGCTTTATCAACAGCATCACACACAGACACATATGAAAACAGCCTCACTCGGGGCCTTGCTGCAAGGGGGCTGCTGCCTTCAAAGAGAAGACCGAGCAGATAAGAAAATCAAGCTGTGCTAAGTCAGAGCGGGCAGCACAGCCCATGAATTATCTGCATTTTCTGCTCCTTCCTCCTTTCGCTGTTTCCTGTTCTTTAAAAGTTTTAGAAAGGGAAGGACAGAGAAATCTAAGAGATCTTATCAAGATAGCATGGCTGCACATACCCCGGGCACACACCCACTCCCATGGAAGGATAAACCGGATGAGAAGCAGGTAACAAGTCAGCCCGCTATTATCCACAGCACCTGTTTTCAATTACTCCTGTCTTGTTTCATAACTCATAGATAAGTCTGGCTGCAGGAGCAAAAGAAGAGCCAGTCTATGAGCCGATCCGCACTGTTTAAAGTACACAAAAGTCGAGGTCCTGAATCAGCTGCCTTGTATGGAACACACAGAATCAAACTCCGCCAAGAGACCAGAGACTGTACCCGAGAGGCAAGGAGGGCTGACGGCAATGGGGGAGGGAGGGATGCCTTTCACCTAGCTGTGGGCTACGCACACTGTTTATTTCACTAAAAGTGTGTGCTGATTACTTACTATTTTCTCATCATTCTTATTTGTCTCTAGACTGCAATTTCTTCCCTGCACCCTAACAGGAATCAAGCTTTAATTGAACCTGGCTTCCAGTGCAGTGGGGTCATGAAGGTGGAGAATAAGGATGGACAAGGATGCTTTTCTAGTCCTGGACCACAGGACTTCCATCACCTCCTGTTACTCAACTCTAAGTCACAGAAGCTCCTCCCACCCGCACCCACCCCCCTCACAGAAGCTCCCTGCAGCCAGTGTGACCTCCCAGGGACACAGTCTGATCTGTTCACTCAGTTAGGTAAATATCCATCCACAGTCAAAAAATCGGGAACATATGAAAGTCAAAACACTTTCAAAGTTTGCTGTGACCTTCCCTCACCAATGCTCGTGACAAGTCCCCTGAGTTCTCGGGCCTTACCTGCCCTCACCACGCCCCCCTCCCCCAGTGGTCAGGAACCTGAACCCTGCTGTGTCACACGCAGCAGCGTCTTCTCTGCTCATGCGCGGTGCCTCTTCCCGGCACTCCTCTCTTCTGAATTATGCTGCCTATTCTCCCATTAAAGTGCTCACGGTCACAGGGAGACTGGGCAGTGCCCTGGCCGTATTGGACAGGCAGAGACCTATCTCCACTCTGTGAGCTCGGTGCACCCTTGAAGCTTGCTCCACGCACACTCGCGAGAGTCATTTCTTCTTCCTCGGCCTCGTCACCGTGCAGGCAGTGGCTCCTCTCCTCCTGTGCCGGCGTCTCAGTGTGAACCGCGGCTCTGGCTGGATGTAGTTGCTTTGCTTCTTCCCGTCCTTGGTTGTCTCTTATGCAGCATTGTCCTCTGGTCTCTCGAGGTCATCACCGTTCTCAAGCACACTCTGATGCTATCGCTATTTGGGGATAGAAATTACCTTTTAGAAAAATATTTCTTTCCCTAAACACAGAAAGCTATAAAGCATTCATGAAAAATAATTAAAGATGCTAAAAAATGGAAAAATATTCCTTCGTTATGGAGTGGGAAAAATGATACGCTAAAATGTGCCTGCTATTCAAAGTGATCACCTATCAGAATTACGATGAGATTTTCATAGGAATAAATTTTTTTAAATTCTAAAATTCAAATGGAATCTCAGAATAGCAAGACATTCTTTTTTTTTTTCTTTTTTCTTTCTTTTTTTTTTTTTGTTTTGTTTTGTTTTTCGAGACAGGGTTTCTCTGTGTAGCTTTGCGCCTTTCCTGGAACTCGGTAGCCCAGGCTGGCCTCAAACTCACAGAGATCCACCTGGCTCTGCCTCCCGAGTGCTGGGATTAAAGGCGTGCGCCACCACCGCCCGGCCCCAAAAGACATTCTTAAGGGGGAAAAAATGCCAGGATGATTGTGTGTAGCTAGAGTTTTCCTGCCTTGCCCACAATCAGGACAAATTTTTGTCACCCGCCAATCCCACAGCCGCTCAGACCCAACCAAGTAAACACAGAGACTTATATTGCTTAGAAACTGTATGGCCATGGCAGGCTTCTTGCTAATGGTTCTTATATCTTAAATTAACCCATTTCTATAAATCTATACCTTGTCACGTGGTTCGTGGCTTACCGGCGTCTTCACATGCTGCTTGTCCTGGAGGCGGCTGGCAGTGACTCCCTCTGCCTTCCTGTTTTCTGTTCTCTGTTAGTCCTGCCTATACTTCCTGCCTAGCCACTGGCCAATCAGTGTTTTATTTATTGACCAATCAGAGCAACACATTTGCCATACAGAACATCCCACAGCAATTGTGCTTCCTGACCTCAAAGTACACGATAGTGCCACAGTGGCCCCAACAGTTTGACATGTCATAAAGCAGTTATGTATCATGCAAAACAGAATAGAAAGCCCAGAAATAAACCCACATATTTGCAGTCATCCAGTCTTTTCCCAAGGTGCCAGGAATACACAAAGAAAAAACAAACAAGAACAATAACAAAAACAGTCTCTTTGGATAATCAGTGGCAGGAAATCTGGATATTCACATGTAGAAGAATGAAATCCAATTCTTCCATTTCACTGTTCTAGTTTGCTTTCTGCTACTGTAATAAACCCCGGACCAAAACCAACTTAGGGAGGAAAGGGTTTGTTTGGAAGCCAATGCAGGAGCTGTAGCGGGAGCTTGAAGTGAAAACTGTAGCTGAACCATCTTATTAAATAAGAAACACAGAGCCAAATACAGAGTTAAAAGCCCAAGAGGTCAGAGCAGTAGCTAAGAGCTGATACTAAAAAACCTTTCTTACCCTTCACTGCCGCTGCCGTCCTTTCCCTCCGAAAGAGACCTACTTCCTGTGTATCTGTCTTTTTATTGACTTTCTGTTCTGCCTTCTCATTGGTTGTAAACCCAATCACATGACCTCATCGTCACTGCCTGTCTATACAGACCACCAGGTCTCTATGGTTGGTATTGAGATTAAAGGCGTGTGTCTCCATGCTGGCTGTATCCTTGAACACACAGAGATCTGCCTGTCATGTGATCTGGATTAAAGGTGTGTGCCACCACTGCCTGGCTTCTGCTATGGCTTGCTATTAGATCTGACGCCCAGGCAACTTTATTTATTAACATACAAATAAAATCACATTTCAGTACAAATAAAATATCACCATAGAAAACCATGGAGTACTGTTCAGTGGCTGGCTTTTCTCTAGCTTGCTCAACACCTGCCCAGGTATGGGACCAGCTATGGTGGGCTGAGCCCTCCCACTTTAATCAGCAATGAAGAAAATGCTCTGAAGATCTATGCCCACAGGCCAATCTGATAGAGGCAATTCCTCAATTGAGATTCTCTCTTCCCAGATAAGTCTGGGTTTGTGCCAAGTTGATAAACTAACCAGCGCACTCACTGTGCATAAAAAAAAAAAAAAAAAAAAAAAAAAAAAAAAAAACATCAACTTCAATAGAGACTGAGATGCAAGAAGCAAAGCTGTAAAGCTTCTAGAGGGAAATGTTGGGAAGAAAGCTTGTGGGTCCTGGCTATGGAAGGAATCCTCAGGGCAAAAGCAAAAATGGGCAAAAGACATTATGTTTAAAATGAAAAGGTTCAGCACAGAAAAAAAAAGGCAGCCTGTGAAAGGGGAGAGAATGTTTGAAAGCCAGACATCCACTATGTGAAACAAAGTGAAAATGGGCAGAGATCCTAAGCAGACATTTCTCAAAAGAAGTGGCCAACAGACAGACACATCAAAAAAGTATTCAGCCGTGTTAATACCAGGTGTTTTAGTTTAATTTGTGCTTTGGTGATTAAATGCCCCCAACAAAAAGCAACTTACAACCTTTTAGCTCACCATGCCGAGTTACAGTCTGTTGCTGTAGGACAGTCACAGCAGGGACTTGAAACCAACAGTCACTTTACAGTCATGAGCAGAGAGAAACTAACAAACACGTGCGTGCTCAGCTAGCTTTCTCTACTCTTACAGGGTCCAGGACCCAGCCACAAGTGCCGCCACATTGGGGTAAGTCTTCTTACCTCAATTAACTCAATTAAGAAAATCCCTCGCAAGCGCAAGCGGTCCCAGGGGCCAACCTCATCTTGATAATTCCCCATTGAGACTCTTCCCCGGGGAGTCTTTGTTATGTCAAGTTGACCACTAAAACTAGCTGTCATCCCAGGAAAATGCAAACCCGAGTCACAGCAAGGTGTCATCCCTTTCTTCAGGATGGCTTCTGCCTCCTCCTGGTCCACAGACAAGTGCTGGCAAGAAGGAAGTCTTGGTGCTCTTGAGGAGAATGTAAGTTGTTTCTATTACAGAGAACGGTAAACAGTGTGGAGATTTCCACAGAGTTGAATGTTTGCAGGAGGGTGGCTCCACTGTGCAATGGATGGGACATGGGACATCTAACACTCATAGGACCCAGGACCCCACTGCCAGGAACACAAGCAAAGAAAATGAGTTCAGAGTTCTGAAAAGATGCGGCCCCTCCCCCATATCTATTGTGGCACCACACACACTAGCCACACCGCCAAACTCAAGAGAAAGAGTGTCAAAGAACAGAATTGGGGATAAAGTAGAGGGGGCGGGGAGGTGTGGTATTTCCATTGTTCTGGAGCCATAAGCTCTGAGAACCCAACCCACAGCCTGGTGATCCCAGGGGATGGCAGGCAGGCTTCAAAGAAGCACAGTGGGATGGCCAGAGCAAGATGCTGGGGTTTCCCTGAGCTAGTGGCTTCTCACTAGGCTCTGTGTTTGGCAGGTTATTCTTGCCCTGGGACTCATAGAGAGATCCCAGGTCAGCATCAGCTGGGATGCCATGTTAGCATGGCCTATCAGTGGATAACACCCAGAAGGAATTAGAAGTTGTGTAAGCCGCTTCCCAACAGACTGCATCAGCGTCCAAAAGAAAGGCAAAAGCCAGACATGCTGTGAAGAATTCTGGCATGGGTCACTGCACAGGGAAGGATTTCATGTGGCGAGACAAGATAGAGATGAGCAGCTTTGGAAAGAAGCAAAGACTACTCCGTTCAGGGGGAAACGGTGTTTGAGGTGTCCCGTTAGCTGTGTAGACAAGCCTGGAGTCCAGAAAAAGACGTAGTGGGACAGTTCCTGAGAGGTCACCAAGAGGCAGGCAAGGTCTTCCGGTGAGACAGATGGCCTTATGGACACAACCAGGTGAGTTCCCAGAGAGTCCCAAGATCGACAGAGTCAGCACCCTCTGACCGGGTCACAGAACAGCTCACGGTGATTGGTAGAAGCAAAGGTGTGTGGCCTGCTTGGATGCCAGCTCTGTGCAGAGACCTCCGTCCATGAGAGCTTAATTGCCTGACCTCTTTATTCCCTTTCTCAGGTTGCTCTCTGATCATTCTCACATGCATTTTTTTTTTTTTTTTGGTTGTAGACAACAAAAGACACCTGAAGATGTTTACTCCCCTCTAAAATATTAGCCGTCTATCTTATCAACATC